AATCCATTCATTCCTTTGTTTCCCGAGTGATCGAGTCGTGGCTTGTTGATGATGCCTTGCCAGTGCGGTTCTCTCGCATCGGGAGAAGCGGCGACGGGCGACGCTATCGGGCGCGAAGCGGCGGCGGGCGGCACGCGCAGCAGCAAGGCGCTGCAGACGCCGTGGTGCAATTCAACGGCAACAAGCGGCGGCGACAAAGCGGACAAGGACCAGCAGCAGAGGGTGGCGCGGCGCGCTGCGCGTGCCGCAAGGCTTCGGCCCGTCCGGTGCTCGCGAGCTCGCCATCGCGTCTAGGATGGCTACGGCGCGCGCTGCGACGTCACGTCCGGACGCCACTTCCTGCTCCACTCCGCCCCGCGTGAGCTCGTCTCATCCTCGCTTCACCGCCGACGAAACGGTGAAGAAGAAGAAGAAGACGCTGCCAGTAGGTCATGGTGGAGTGGTGGGCGCTGGCCGCCAAGACAGGAGGAGGAGAAAGGCGGCGCTGGACGCCGACGCGGCGCTGTGGTTTCGCACCAAAGCGCGGGCGGGGGACGCGGAGGCACGACGAGTTCGGCACGAGCTTTCGGCGTGCGGTGCTCTACGTGCTGGGTCGCGGGTCATCTATCTCTGCTGGCGCTGCGTGCGTGCAGTCTTTGGACCGAAGCGCGTGCACCGCCACATGTTTTAACGATGTATACGATGGATTAACGAGAAAGCAACGACAATGGCAGATAAGGAGAAAAAATATAAACCAATTGCAACTAAGAATATGTAAATCTGAATGACAACGAACGGATTAATATAGCTTGATGGCCACGAAGGAATTTTCTCGGAAGAAAGACAATTGACGAGGAACAAACAAAAACAAAAGGCACAGAGGCGCGCGGGCGCGGCGATCTGTCCGTCACCCCCACACGCTTCTCTGATGCTCTCTCTCTCCTCCATGTGCCAGGTCAGTGAGCGGGCCCCGCGACAGCGACGCCTGCATTCCAATCCAACCCCTCACTCCCCTGGCCCTGGCGGTGGGGCGCGCGCGCGCACGCTGGACGGGACGGAACCGTATGAGCGGACTACGGAAGCGGCCGGGCCGAGCACCGGTCGCGGTCGGTGGTGCCTCCCACGCGGACGCGTGCGGTGCGGTCCCAGCCCGAGCGCCGGGTCCGATCGGTCGGGACTCGCCGGGGACCGGGACGGGCCATCCCACCGGCTTTGCTGCGATGCTCCCGTCCCGTGGTGTACCTGCCGGGTACTCCTATACTGTATCCGCACTCGTACGTCGTACCTCCTGCCTCTGGAGTCTGCAGTCTGGAGTCTGGACGCCCTCGTTGAATTTCCTTGTGCCTAGCTTGGGTTAATCAGACGTTGTGCTAAATGAGAACGTAATGTATCAATATGTTTGTTTGAGTTAAGAATGGTCCGTAAGGTCAGTTTCGGTGGGAGTTTCAAAAGAATTTTATTTGCATTTAATAGCCTGCTACATATATATTTTTGATGACATGTTAATGGTCCCGTTCGTTGCTCTGAAACTTAGCTGAAACTGGCTGAAAACACTGTTCCGGATGAATTGTTGTGAGAGAAAAACACTGTTCCGGCTGAAAAAAGAAGCCGAACAAGCTATTTTTAAGACAAGCGAACGGGGTAAATGTTTTAATGAAAAGAGAGAACAAATGAGTTTCATGGGGATAAAACTCTCTTGGCACGGTTATCAACTCTCTATGAGTCTTAGAATTAAATGCTTATGAAATTCTAGAATGAAACTTTACATTGAGAGTGGATGTTTCAACCAAGTTTTATTTTATTCTATGGCCATGTTCGCTTTGCTGAAAAGTCATGGTTGAAGTATTGTTCGCTCACTACCGGAATCCTAAAATTTGCCGAGTGTTTTTATGTTTGCCGAGTGTATTCCCTTGGGCACTCGGCGAATAAGTGATTTGCCAAGTGTTGCGCTAAAAATACTCGGAAAAAAACACTCGGCAAAGAGCGGGTTTGCCGAGTGTCAAAAAAACACTCGGCAAAGAAATAAAATATTTTTTTTAGAAAAGAAGGAGAAGAAAAAAAATAAAAAACCTTTGCCGAGTGCTAGATCTACAACACTCGGCAAAGAAATATAAAATCTTTTTTTTTTTAAATGAGAAGAAAAAAAAAAAAAAAAACCTTTGCCGAGTGCTAGATCTATGACACTCGGCATTTTTTTCCCTAGAAATAAAAGCCGCACTGCCTCGCACACCGCCCCCTCCCTCACCCCGCACGCCGCGCACCCCTCCCTCCCTCTCCTCCCAGCTCCCTTCTCCCTCCTCCTCCTCCGGCGCCCTCCCCTCCCCCCTCTCTGGCACGCCCCCCTCCTCCTCCCGGATCCGGCGCAGCCCTGCCCTCATCCCTCTCCGGCTCGGATCCAGCGCGACCCCGTCCTCCTCCCTCTCTGGCGTGCCCCCCTCCTCCTTCCTCTCCGGCGCGCTCCTCCTCCTCCCTCTCCGGATCCGGCGCCCCCCTCCTCCTCCCTCTCCCGGATCTGACGGCGGCGGGCGTGGTGGTGGTGGTGAGCGTGGCTGTTGCGATGGCCTGGGTGTGGTGGCGCGGCGTGGTGGTGGTGCGGCGTGGTGGGGCCCTCCCTTCTTCCCCGACGTGGTGGCGGCGGCGTGGATGGTGGTGGTGCAGCGTGGTGGGGCCCTCCCTTCTTCCCCCGCGTGGTGGCGGCGGCGTGGATGGCGGCGGCGGTGCTGGTGGTGCGGGCGTGGTGTCGGCATGTCATTTTATTTTATTTTTGAAAAAAAGTTTGCCGAGTGTTTTTTGGGCACTCGACAATTGCCGATACAGAGTTTGCCGAGTGTTGTAACACTCGGCAAACCCTTTGGCGAGTGTTTTTTGGGCTTCGCCGAGTTCCCCTGGCACTCGGCAAACCTCCTATATCCGGTAGTGGCTGATTTGTTGCGAAAGAAAAAACACTGTTTGTTCGCTGAAATAGTACTGCTTATAAGACAAGTGAATAGGGCCATGACATGGCAATAATGAAAACAGCGTAATGAAACTCTCCACTGACACTGGCCTAGAAGCCATATAAAGTTTGGTAGACAATCAAGGACTAATAAAGTTGGTTAAAGTCTGTTATGGTAAAACTTCCAACTTATTTACTCCAAATTGGGTCTCTGTCCTTTTTACGAAGGATAGAACAAAAATTGACTAGTGTTTCTCCTAATCTTAAGCTTAAGGTTAAGCGATATGTTCCTGAACACCATTAAAGATAGAATGTGCGTTTCAAAAAGAATATACTTTGGTGTACGATCAAGTGTTACCCGAGCCAAGAAGTATTTTACAGTAGGGGTAGTATCAAGTGCCGACAAAGCCAGCCCACCCTGAGGAAAAGATTTGCAACCGGCAAACGGGGAGAAAAAATAACCCCAGAAAGAAAAAGACCTTGGCAAGCATGAAGCAACTCAATAACTCCCGTATGCTCCTCCCCGGTTCGTTATATAAAGGACAATTGTCTGATCCAAAGTGACGATCCTTCGTTGGCGGATAACTACTTTGGAACATTTTGCCAGAAGACATCCTAATTTGGTGAAATTAGGCCACAGGACACCGCGGACCGGTTGCAGCCGATTGAGGAGAGAGAACAACGGTGAAATGACATTTTTGCCCCTGTCGTTTTCTTCTTCCTCTCTCCCTTTCTCTTTTTTCTGTTTCTTGTCCCCGCAGTTCAAGCAAACAGCAGTGCGGAGGAACGACTGGTCTCCTACCAAGCAAACCAAAGGGCGTCGTCGCGTCGAAGCTGTGAGTGACATGCCAATACCCGCGGTGGCAGCACGAGCGCCTGGCCACCGGTGAAGCAATGAACTGGAGGTGCAGGTGCGGGCGTGCCAATGCCGATGCCGATGCCCGCGGCACCAGCAGCGGCGGAGGTGGAGGCGAGCTGGTTCTTGTGGTTGTGCATCCACACCTCGAGCACCTGGCGCTTGACCCCGATCTCATTGCAGAAGCGGTTTAGGGCGTCGTCGTCGTTCCGTTGGATGCGCCTGCCCTGCTTCCTCTGCGAACTCGTGCATCCGCTCCTTCTGCTCGGGCGTGAACTTGGTCCGGAGCCGCTTTTGCCCGAAGCTGCCTCTGCCGCTGCCCCCGCTACCCTCGACGCTCCCGGGCATGGAACCGACGCTGACGCCGATGCCGAAGTCGTCCGTGCGCGACGGCGTCTCGGAGCCGGCGCGCGTGTCGAGCCACGGGGGTGGGGCGGCGACGGCGGCGTTAGGCACGGCACCGACTTCGGGAACAAGGCCTGCAGCGCGGCGGCCGCGCCCTAGTGGAAGTGGTGATGGTGGAAGTGCTGCTGTCGCGGCGTCGGCGGCCCTAGTGGCGCGGGCAACGCGAGAGGCGGCGTCGGGCGGAAGAAGACCGGCGGTGCGCACGGCGAGTCCGGTGGTGCTAACGCGGCAGCGCCCGAGGCGGCGCGACGGTGGAAGCTGCGGTGGCACCCGCAGGCCGCGCACTTGAGCGAGTCCGACGAGGAGGCCATGTACTTGCTGCAGCCGTCGATGGCCTGCCCGCCCATGGCCGCCGCGTGGTTGCGCATGCACTCCTTGTACTTGTCGCCCCGCGTCGCCCCCACCGCTGGCGCCATTGTAGGACATGAAACCGAAAAAAGAGAAAGAGAGAGAGAAAGAAGAAAGCGGCGGAGGCAAGAATATCATTTCACCACTGTTCTCTCTCCTTAACCGACTGCGACCGGTCCACGGTGTCATATGATCTAATTTCATCAAACCAAAGTGTTATGATCGCTTTAGATGTCGAACGGACAATTGTCCCTTATATAAAAGGAGACAAGAAGGAGCCACATGGCCACCACCCCAACCCCAGTACAAACGCATTGCAGCGTGCTGCCTGCTCCGCTGGGCGCCGTGCCGCGCTGCGCTGTGGTGTCCTCTCAGCTGCTCCAAGCACCGCCGCCCCTCACCTCACCGCACGTCCCTCCGGCCGACCCCGCCGCCGCAAGGTCCCGCAGTCTTCCCGGCCCCCCCGCTCCCTCCAGCATGAAGTGCCTACTCCGGCGTCTCTCCCGCGTGGCCGCGGCCGACGCGTGCGCCGCCGCCGGGTACCAGCCGCTCCGGCCGGACGTCGCGGCCGCGTCCGCCAAGGCGGCATCGCTCTCCGGCGCGCGGCGGCTGGGCGGCGGCGCGCGCGTGCCGGAAGGCCACGTGCCCGTCTGCGTCGGCGAGGAAGGCGGGCCCGTGGAGCGGTACGCCGTGCGCGCCGAGCTGCTCGGCCGCCCGGCCTTCGCCGCGCTGCTCCGACGCGCCGCGCAAGAGTACGGGTACGGCCACCCCGGCGCGCTCCGCATCCCCTGCCCCATCGCCGACTTCCGCGACCTCCTCGTCCAGCTCTCCGCCTCCGCCTCCGCCTCCGCCTGCGCCGCCGCGGACCACCCCGACGACGACGACGCGGCGCTCTGCTACTACTACTAGGCTTCGGATTCAGCTACGGCATCCCCCACCTCCCCCGCCACCGCTCTCCTCCCCGTCGCCGCATTTGCCGCGGAGGGCGTAATTGAGATTTGCCCTTGCCCCCTCGGTGAAAACAGAAACGGCAGCGCCAAGTGCTGCTTGTCTTCTTCTTACTGAATTACCCCTGCGTGGGACGCCTGTGCTTGTACATACGGGGGAGGGTTAACTGTGGTGGATGCTTTGATGGGGGTACAACGGGGATTTTCTCCTGCAGACTGCAGCTCAACAGTTTTACGCCGTGTTTAGTTTAGGAAGTTGAATTTTGAGCCACCGCAGCACTTTCGTTTTTATTTGATAATTAGTGTTTAAATATGGATTAATTAGGTTTAAAATGTTTGTCTCGTAATTTTTCACAAAACTGTGTAATTAGTTTTTTTTTCATCTACATTTAATGCTCCATGCACGGACCGTAAATATTCAATGTGATGGCTACTGTAGTACTTTTTGGTATTTTGGGTTGACCCTTGTTTACTTCCATCAACTTTGCACCATCAAAGTTTGCACAGTGCAAGATTCTCCATCACATTATATCAAATCTTGGACACATACATGGAGTATTAAATGTAGGTAAAAAAAATAACTAATTACACAGTTTGGTTGTACTTTGCGAGACGAACGTTTTAAACCTAATTAGTCAACGGATTGGACAATTATTATCAAATACAAACGAAATGCTACAGTACCGCTACACTGTACAATGCTTTTTGGATGTGCAAAGTTAACGGGGCCTTGGAACTAAACATGGGCTTAGTGCCTGCTGTCTGGTAGGAATTTTCTTTTCTTTCTTCCTCCCGTGTTTTTGGGTCTTCGTCTAGATCTAGCTCTAGCTCTAGCGGTGGTTGTAATGGAGTAGTAGTGACTGAGCACTACCTGCCTTTTGTTTTCCTAGGGGTTTTGAGATCTTAACAATACTCCAATGTACTTAAGTCGCAAGGCTGGTGATCTCGTGACTGAGACCGAGGAAATCCAGTGCAAAATGCCAAAAATTCTCTTGCCCCGTGTTCCAACTTCCAAGATCCGGGTATGCAATGCAATGCGATGTGCCGACTTTCTCTCCGTAACTTTTTGTCCTCTCTTTGTGTGCTCCCGTTTTCGATGAGATCGCTCGCACGGCGAGCGTCCTCTAGTATGGATGTAGGATCTGGAGCTACTGTTGCTGCTGAGCTTGCGAAGAATCAGATGCTGGTGAACGCTGGCGCCGAGTTGGGGAAAGCAGAGGAGGCTATGCTGGCACCGAAATGGCAACTGCGCGCTGTACCTGTACCTGTACAGCAGCGACCACCGGCCGCGCAATGCCTCGTTCGCTGGGTCGTAAATGATCGTAGATTTTCAGTTAGAATAATATTTTTTCTCATATTAAATCAGTCAATAGTAATAATCCACGATCGTATCGTTTCAGCCTCAGCTTAACAGGCTGGCGGTTCACGCGACCAAACCAACGGCCTCGCCGCTTGCTCCGGCGCCGGCGGCTCTGGGAGCTGACGGTCGGCACGGCAGCGTCAGGCTCCTGACGTTGTTGCCGACGAGCGGCCGGGTACCAGTCTGCCCGCCCGCCTGGATTGTTGGAGTGGCGGGATTCAGAGCTGCGTGCGTTCAGGGAAAAAAGTGCGACTCTCTGTTTTTTTTAAATTAAAAAAAAACTTCTTTTAATTATGTTTGTAGCGTCTTTCATACTAGCCTAGATTTCAAAGGATGCGCGCGCGTTCTTGATGTTCACAGGAAGGTGTCGCCTCTCGCCTGAATTGTTCAAGAGATTGGAGTAATTGCACACCGGAAGTCCTTCAACTTGTCAAGTTGTAGCACTTGCACCTTGGAACTTTGACTCCGGTGTTTGCAGGTCCTTCAGCCCTTCTCCGTCATGAACTGACGTGATTGCCGCTATTTGTTCAAGATGGATGCTAAGGGGCTGTTTGATTTCTAACCGGAGTTAAAGTTCCAAGGTGCAAGTGCTACAACTTGACAAGTTGAAGGTCTTCCGGTGTGCAATTACTCCTATCTCTTGAACAATTCAAGCGAGAGGTGACATACCTTCCTGTGAACATCGAAGAACGCGCGCATCCTTTGAAATCTAGGCCAGTATGAAAGACGCTACAAACATAATTAAAAGAAGTTTTTTTTTATTTAAAGGCCCTTAGCATCCGTCTTGAACAAATAGCGGCAATCAGGTCAGTTCATGACGCAGAAGGCTGAAGGACCTGCAAACACCGGAGTCAAAGTTCCAAGGTGCAAGTGCTACAACTTGACAAGTTGAAGGACTTCCGGTGTGCAATTACTCATATCTCTTGAACAATTCAGGCGAGAGGTGACATACATTCCTGTGAACATCCAAGAACGCGCGCGCATCTTAAAATTCCTATCACATCGAATGTTTGAACACATGCATTGAGTATTAAATATAGATTAATTATGAAACTAATTGCACAATTTGCGAGACGAATCTTTTAAATCTAATTAGTCCATGATTTGACAACGTGGTGCTACAGTAATATGTGCTAATGACGGATTAATTAGGCTTAAAAATTTGTCTCGCAAATTAGCCTCCATCTATATAATTGGTTTTGTAATTAATCTATATTTAATACTTCTTATTAATATCTAAACATTCGATGTGATATGAATTTTAGGAGCCAAACACCCCGAAGTTCGGGGCCCTCTTTGATAAATGTGGGAAATTTCGCTGTTGTCTAGTACATTTTCTTTTCTTTTAAAGTGATTTGATTCCTGTGAAGTGAAATCCTCAGAGGACCTGCGAGATGGAAGCTCGGAAGAGCTACTACAACTTGACAAGTGGAAGGGCTTTGCTGCGCAATTATTTTCAATGGTCTCCATCTTATAAATAACGTGGATGTTGTACCGGAACGCAGTGAGGGCGATGAGTTGACGATTTCACTCGGCCTTCCAGCTAAGCCCTGGACGCGGACAAAACTGGCAATGGAGACACTGAAAAGGAATCTCACCAGTAATTGGCCATGCCCGTACCTCGTTGTTTCGTACTACTGTACTACGACTTTCGGAAACCGTGAAAGAATTACTGATTTGAAAACGATTACAGTGAAACAGCACAGATTTTTTGTTCTAAAAAAATACTATCTGCCCCTCTCTTGAATTTCGCTATCAAATCTTTTCTCCTTTGCTCCATTAGCTGAAAAAAAGGAGAGGAGATTATGTATGTACGTAAAGCTAATAATTGACCCCCTGAAATGTACATTTGAGGGTGCAATAATGCCAGCACAAAGGGGAAGTTTTGTGGCGCGGACGACGCGTCAAAAGACGGGATTATGGGAAGCAGCGGCATGTGCAGAAATCTCTTCGGCCAGTGCGGCTGCCTGCAACTGCGCCTCACTGTGGCTGAGCTCACGGAGACGAAGACGGATGCGCGCATTCCTTGGTTGGACAGGAGGAGAATTCAGATTTTTCAGAGGAGCACCGCAAAGCTTTCTCGGCACTACTAATCCTGGCATCACCACCACATTCTCCTCGAGTCCTCGGAACCGTCGTGCCAGAACGAAACCCAGCCGTATCTTTGCATGATGTTGAGAAAGATTACGCAAATATGTATGGCATGGCGTAGATCATCGTACATGCATAATAATGCATATATGCATGTGCTGCCTAATCTGCACATTTGAAACCCCTGGAGGGCGAGTCGCAACGGTGATCTAGCTGAATGTCATGTTGCGTGTCTGAACGCGTGTGTGAAAGCAGCGCCGCCGTCAGGATATCACACACACACACACCGGAAAACCGAAACGGGGCAGAAAAAGAGTTATTATATTTATAGATTTTATAAAGAAAGGGCTTATCTAATCTAGGCCACTGGTTCAAGAAAACAAATTGGGGGGCAGAAATTCTCTGCGACGTAGCGCACTGCACACACAGCACATGCCGTGCTGAGAGCCTCAGACACCAGCACGTTTCCTCCCTCGCTCGCTCTGAATTCCAGTTCAGGTACGCAAGTCAGCCGGCATCCATTCCCAGGGGCTTGAATGCAGCGTCACATGCTGACAGAGCCCTCCCAACTCCCTTTTCTTGGAGAAATCGTATCGTTCTCGCAGGAAAACCCAGCACAGAGAAAATGTGCGTGCCGGCGATGTAGATGGCCCCAACGCCACAGAAAACGCAGCGAGATTTTGCTGGTCTCTTTTGGCCCGAGCGCATGGATGATGCAGCTGGCTGCTGGGGGGGATAAGGACCTGCGTCGCTCGCATGCACGCCTGGAGCTCCGAACTGATTTGAATGAAGCCAAATGAGCGAGCAAAAGCATGTGCAGGGAGTGAAGGCCACATCGCGGCACGCGTGTTGGGGTGCCCAAACGCCGGCCGGGGCGGGAAGCAAGGGCGGGGCAGCCGGGGCAGGCAGGCACCATGCCGTGCTGCTGTCGCTGTTTGCCCGTGGACAGGTTCGCGTTGGGCGCTCGGTCCGATCGGCTGGGACGGGGCTCCTGCTGGCAGGGCACGTTGCAGCCGGCGCCACCACACGGCGTTCGACATGTCGACGCGCGGTGGCCGCGGCCGTGGCGTACTGTCGTCTACCTGCAGAGCAGGCCACGGACACGGATGCTTCTCGCTAGGTTATGCGCGTCAATGTTGGAGCCTTTTCCTTCATGGACGAACTCCACAAATGTGAAAGTCGCTACCCTTGCATTGATTTCTGGAACAATGTGGCCATATACTCCCAAACCGGCTAATCACTCGCCAGTTTGAACCGCTGCAAAAGGAGGTCACTTGCCAACACCAGGCCTTCACTGCACGCAATAACCTCCATTGTCTCAGAGATGCCCTCCCCCACTGCAGATGCTCCTAAGAATACCCCCACAACATCACAGGCAACGGCCGCAACTGAAGCCAGGCACAAATTTTTGTAGATAGCAGCATCAACATCAACATTAATTTTCAGTCTCCGCTAGAGGAGGAATCTAGTGTGTAAGGCCAATTTCAATGGGGATTTCATAAAGTTTCATGAGCATTAAATATGCTGACATAACACTGTATTGATGAAGAAAGAGATAAAAGTTTCATAGGTATAGAGAGAGTTTCATGGATATAAAAATCTTCTAATTTGTTTTTAAAATACAGGTGTGTTAAAAACTAGGAGATAAAACCCTCGTTGAGACTGGCCTAAAGTAATCGACTTGTCTAGGACCGTCGACGATAAGTGGAGTTCTTGTCGCCTCCAAATCTGCTATATACTGTACCTCTCAAGTCTCAATAAAACAGTGGATTTTTTTTTTTGGAAATGTAAACCAGTGGATTTTGGAGGGGTAGAGGCCCACACCTTTCCGCTTTCAGGACTGACGGTGCTTTCTTGGGCCTTTGTGGCCTGTGACCAAGCAACAATGCACACCCCTGCCCATGCTACGCAGTAGGCACGAATTTGTAGCCCATGGGTTACGTCGGATTCCTGGGCCAGCTCATCTTTCCACAGCCCAAAGAACAAATGAGCAATCAAAACAGTGCCACACCACTAAGACTTGTTTCGAACACGACAGCTTTCTTAAACCCAATTGCCCTGTAAATCATCTGCTGCAGTTTAAATGATCCGTTGATCCCCATCAGCTTATATATATATATAAAAGCTCAGGGTATCTTTTTGAAACATATGAACTCCGCATGAAACAGATCAATTCTAGAGGAACGCGCAAAATTATCACGCCTTCCAAATGGCGGTTGTCTGCAGTGTGCAGTCTAATCTCCACCCTATTGATCCACATTGGATTAGAACAAAGTCTTAACACTATGCTCTCTGAGCAGTAAAGAACCATGCCACGGAGTTGTTATTTTGTTCCGGCTGCCGATTTGGTTTTTCTTCTTCTTCCACCATTTATCCATCAAGAATTACATGCCACTGTGCCGGCGAGCTACAGTACAGCTACGGTGGTTTCAGCAGCTACCGTGCTCATCGGCGAGGTGTCAGTCAGAGCCAGACTCAGACCTTGTACGTCATGCCCACCTCGATGAGGGAGGTGTTGGGGATGCCGAGCTCCACGGCGGGCCGCCGCGAGTTGCGCCGGAGGAACCCGTACACCACGTTGACGGCGAACTTCTTCACCGCCGACGACGACTCGTGGGCCTGCACGCAGGTGTGCCCGATCATGTACGACACGCCGGACTCCCGCTCCTCTAGCAGCGTCTTCACCTCCTCGCCGCCACTGCCGCCGGCCCCGCGGGGCTCCTCGAACCGGACCCTCCTGCCGACGGCGCCGCCGGCGTCGATCTCGCAGGACGACGAGGTGCTGCACGACGCCATCGGCGGCGCCGAGTCCGCGTCCACGAGCTGGTGCGCGTGCGCCGGCGCCGGCGCCGCGGGGATCACCGACAGTTCCCTGGAGTAGTAGTCGCCCACCTCTGCGGCGGCGGCGGCGGCGTCCTGCCGCTGCAGGAACTCCACCACCTTCATCAGCAGCTGGTTCTCGAAGTTGAAGTGGTCCCGCCGCCCTTCCTTGTACCCGTACCGGACGACGCAGCGGAACAGGCGGTGAGCCGGCGCGCCCACCCGCCCCACCAGGAACCGCTCCTCCGGCGACACCTTGGGCACCGTCAGCGTCTGGAGGGACACGAAGATGAGCACCCGGTGGAACGCCGGGAAGTTGGTGACGAAGTGCGCGAACATCGGGGGCATGCCATTGGCGGCGCTAGAGTAGACGAAGCCGACCCCCGGGACGCGCACCAGCCCGATGCCGGAGCTCAGGCCGAGGAACCGGTCCAGGCACACCTTGTTCTGCAGCTCGTACTCCTCCTTCTTCTTCGTGCCGTAGTGCCACGTCGACATGGCCAGCAGCGTCACCAGCGACAGCAGCAGCGGGAGCCACCCGCCATGGGGCACCTTGGCGAGGCACGCCGACAGGTACATGAGCTCCATGGATCCGAAGCCGACCGTGAAGAGCGCTGCCAGGACGACGCTCCGGTCCCACACGATGGTGATGACGAGGAACATAAGGCATGTGGTTGCAAACATCACCAAGATCACAGCAAGCCCTGGAACAAGATATTAAAAATGTTACAGATTGTATACAATTCTGCATCTCAAAAGATTCTAGAAAATTTCGTACCATAGGCATTTCCAATCATTTCGGTGTCGCGGAAGCCGACTGTGACGGCCAGACACAAGAACATGAGAACCCAGTTCACCTCCGGTATGTAGATCTGGCCGTGGACATGGCTTGACGTGTGCACGATCTTTATCCGCGGGAAGCACCCCAAAGCCCTGGACTGGCTTATGATGGAAAACGTAGCTGAGATGATGGCTTGGCTCCCAACAACTGTGGCTAGTGTTGCGATGATCAGAACAGGCCAGAACACTCTGTCTGAAAAAAAAAGAGAGGAACAGAGAAAGAGATCCAGGAAAATTAGAAGAAAAAGTTGAGGTACTTTCATTCAGCTATATAAAGAAACAGATTTGCTACATGTATGTGACATTGACATCCGGGTGTTGGCTTGAACTACCTGCACCCATTTTTTTTTTCCCTTCACTCAAACTTCACCGGCCTATTTCCCTTCAATCTCCTGCATTTTTTTTTCTATGGGCGTGATATGAAACACATTTTCCAAGAAAATTTATGTTCATACTTAATAGAGGACTAGGCATGACCTTTTGATGATACACATGTTAAGTAGGGATGCAAAGTTTCTCTCTCTAGGTCATTTGATCAACAAGAACTCATTCAAATTTCAAAAGGGAAAAGGATACAAGATGTAAGGTGGTGACACAAAGCTACCTATCGAGCACACACTTTCATCCCTCAATATAAGGTTTATTTTGAACTCTAGCATTGCGTCGTGTATGCAAGGAGTTGAGTTATCTGTGGTTGGCTTTTGTTATTGATTATGGCAATGGCATCTCGAACATGCATTTTGTAAACCTATAGGGATAGGGTACTCTGAAGAGTTTGCTTGGTTAAACAAAAGTTTGCAATTTCTAGTAATACCTATCTAAACCGTGGCCTATGCCAAATGACAAATAGAGTATTTATGGAGAAAGAAGCATGTTTTGTATGGAATCAAGAAGAGGCTTTGGATAAGCCTAGTTGATAAGTTACCAGTTTATGAGTCCCAAAAGTGACTTCATTATGGTAGGGTTAACTTGAAGTATCATAAAGCATGACATACATTGTGACTGCATTTATGTATCTATTTCATCTCTTGGGATTTTATTTAAGATATTTAACTTGAATTTTGGAGGTTAGATTAAATTGCTTACTAGGAGGATAGCTAAGTCCAGACAACTAAACTTTCTCGGATTGGTATTGAAAAAGGAGAAACGACACATGGTCTTGAAATGTATGAGTTCACATATGTCGATTATACAATCTAAAATTAATAGATTCTTTGTATCATTTCCCTTCATACTTTATACCTGTTTTCCTACCTTGAGTTTTTGACTATAAGATATATGCACTAATGTCCATAGAATAGAGGGAAAATTGATTGATATGAATCATAAACTTGTGCGATAAAAGTTATTTTTAAGGAAACAAGTGGAGATAATACCAACTTGAATTTTCATTCATAGTACTCGATGATATCACTTATTAGGTTTTTGTTTCCAGTTACATTTTTATCTAGTCTTTCATAAGAAGCATGGTGAGAAGCCTGCCTTCTTATATGTGCACTTGAGTATCAAATATTGCACGAGGTGTGTCAAGCCAATTTGAGTATAAAAAAATGGCCATGTGCCCATAAGCAATGGTGACTCACTACATAGGGGCCTAGTGATCATCTATGGGCTGATCAACTTCCACACATTCATAACATAAGGACCGAAGTTTCAAAGCACTAGGGAAAAGGTCAACGTCAAGGATGTTTGATCCACTAAATTTCTTAAATCTTCGATTTGCTAAATTTCATACCATATCCTATCATGCATAAAACATATGGTGGGCAAGCATGCCTTTTGCGATGTACTATGGGCTACCAAATATCACAATGTTATGTGCAGGAACCAAAAAATTGAGGATATGGTAGGAAGGCGAGGGGAGAGCTTGCGTCTCCAATGCCATCACCATTTGGCCTTAACAATAATTAAGGTGAGGCGATATTGAGATTTCTTGAAATTGATCAAACAATTTTACAAATGTTCATCCTGGCATACTAGGGAGAAATTACAAGGTAAGGATATAAGAGAATAAAATGTTGCCATCTACACATACATTCTTGATGGAATGATGGGTAATCACGGGATGGTGGGAATGCCATTGGTCTGAGTGAAATACAAGTATGTTGTGAGTATTCCACATTCTCCAAGCGAAGACCATGATGATATAGAGTCAAACCCTAGACGAAGATGACTAGCAAAGGAAACCTACCATGTAGGAAGGGGTGGGTGGGTGTGGGGAGTGACACAAGGATATAGAAATACATGATCTGAATACGATGTTGGTAGGAAAAACGAGGAAGGGATTCTTTGAGGCTTCGAGAAACTATGAGTGTCTTGTTTAGAATTAGTCAACTGACTTGATGATGGTTTGGTGCAAAAGGTTGGACAAAGTTTTCAAGCAATTGTTCCAAACGATCCATATGGGGAACTTGAACGTCAACAACACATGGGTGGAATTAAATAGGCGTTGGGATCTTGCATTCCAATGTCCAATATGGGAACACATGTATTGTAATATTAAAAGTCTTATAAGAGTTGAAGGGAATGTAGCAGTCATCATTCAAAATGGCAAAAGCAACACTCTTACACAGACTATGATGGGTGTCTAGCTTCTGTTGAGCGACATTAGTGAGCTTGGGACAAAGAACAAGATGGGGAGGGGGCAACAAGGACAATAGCAACATGAGTTAAGTAGGGTTCCATGAGATAAGACAGAGGATCATCAAACCATAAAGGGCTAGCGCCATGCTAATCACATCTAGAATACGAGGATAGCTTGAGGGTGGCTTTGGTGATGATTTTCGTTAGCACCAAATAGCAACTCACCGACAAAAGAGTTGTTTTTTTTTGAGAACACGACTTCACACGTTTTTCATTAAGAAGAAGAGCCAAAAGAACGGCTTACAATACGCAGCTATGGTAGAACCCATAGTGCTAGACACAAAACCACAGAGAAAGTGGTTATGAACTTAAACGACAACATAAAAGAAAGGAAGACGTTAGGGAGAATCCCTCCACCACAAACCTAACCAACTGGACCAGCAAACGAAAAGTTACATCAACGCAATGCTGTCAGCAAGTGAGATGAAGCCGCGGTGGCCAAGCAACCACCAAGAAGCGACGACGATAAAGTATCTGCCAGAGTAAACGTGATAAAGTATCCGTGAGAGAGGGGCCATCACACCCTCAGCATCCGCCATGGGGGGGGGTGCCCAAGACGACAACGGCGACAAAGCATCCGCCCTAGCAACAATGATGACAATGCATCCGTCAAAGAAGAGAGGCAGCGGCGAAGTATCCGTTGTGAAGAACCAAACGACTGCGACAAATCCCAACAGGTTGGATAGACCATTACGAAGATGCGCTTGAAGCACATATAGGTATAACATGGGAAGGAGTGACCCCGGTGAGAGTAGGCTGAGATGGGCTGTAGTAGTGCTCCAAGATGCCTTCAAGAAGGACCTTGACATCCGTAGATGCCAACAACGCTGGTAGAAGCACATGAGTAGGTCTTTCGACCTCAGCCTGCCCGACGAATAGGAACTTCGACGATGCCTCCATGAAAGCAAATGACGCTAGCTGCGCCACCGCCACTGGCCCGAAGGAACCGAGCAAGGTTTTCACCCAGCAACTGACCGTCCATAGGCGCAGGCCAGCCCTAGCACCTGCAGTGACGGCCCCGACGGTAAAGGGCCGAAGCCGCCAGCACGAGCACCAAACCACAGAGCCAGCCACGTCAGCCGCCAGATCTGGTAGGAAGCATCCTAGAAGGTCACTAGCTGGCGCGGGTGGACCCCAGCAGGACGCAGTCAGCCCTGCCTAAATCCGGCAGCGCACAGAGATCGGTCGTGACCAGGTCCCTCGATAGTCAGGGGGAGACCAGTCGCCAGGAGGTTAGCCTCACTGGTGCGGGCCATGGCCGGTACTTGCTGGTCCTGGCTAGCTGCGGCCGCCCGACATAGATCCGGTGTGGGTGGTGCGTTGGTCGCCAGCGAGGCCCCATGACGGCCGCCCCAACAGCCATGGCCGCCCGTCCCAGATCTAACGGGGGATGCGCTGGCCACCGCTGCGGAGGCCAATAGCAGGCGCCACCCACCACAGGCGCGGGCAGGCTGGGGAAGCCGGCCACAGCCCACGCTGGCCGTCCCAGCCAGCCGCGACCGCCACTGTGGCAGGCCTTGTAACACCCCGGGTGTTAGTCATGAGTTAAGCAGTGAAATTAGATTTAAGTAGGATATGTCAAGCAATGATTATGAACTCTAGTTCATAATCTGGAAGTAATGATGAAGGTATTGAGGTGAAACCTATGAGAATGAGCCTCAACTTGGACTCAGACAATACACTTTGCTTACATGTGGACCCTGGTTAAGATTAGACATGAGTAATGTTAAACATGCTTATTTCATGAACATTACATCAACATGCATCCATCTTGACCAGTGGAAAAGTTTCGTGAAGTTTGAAGCAAAGAAGTCACATAAAATGATAAATTATAACCTTGATTGAATTACTTTATTAAGTAAATGGGAATATGAAATGTCGACCAAACCTTGTTACCTTGCACAAATGACTCTAATTGAACTCTACAACAAAAGTCATGAAGGGTTCGTGTTGAGAAAATATCAAGAAAACGCCTCAATTGGTCGAAAACCCTAATTTCAGGGTTTAACGAGGTGCTGCTTTGATCAAGATGAAACTATGATTTCGGGACCTGATATGAAGTTAAACCTTTAATCAAAGTTGAAGTTTGAGTGGAGTACAACAAACTTTATTTTTAAACCAAGCCCTGATTCAACTCCTAAGTGGCTCAAATAGAGGACTCAAGATAGAATCAGCTATTGTTGGGCCTGGCCGCAGGGAAGCTGCGCTGCCACTTCACCGCCGCCGACCACCTCGTCGGAAAATCAAGCCGCCGTCGATCTCCTCTGCTCCAACTCGCGTCGGGGACCTCACGCAAGAATTCAAAGAAAGGGAGGGGCCTATCTACAAAGTCTGTGACTTATATGAATAGTGACTAGAAGGACCATTTCGCTAGAATCTGTTTTCGTGAAAGTTTGGGGGTCCTCGGTGCAAGTTTATTTTTCTTTTATGGCTAAAAGTTTGAAAAATTATAATAAATCATAGAAAAATCGTAAAATAACAAATGAGAACTTTTTGAAATCCTTGTGAGTAGATCTACGCAATAGAGTCATAATATGATATATGTTAGTAGAAAGTTTATGCTATTTTTATTTATTCTTGTAAAGTACTTTTAAAAATGCTTCTAAGTTGGACAGATGCATATCTTGAGTTATAAAAGCCCAAAAAATGGTAATTCTAGTTGTGTTAATCTTGAGATGACATGCTCTAGCTAATAAAAATATTAAACATGCTAGTTGTGTACTGTTTTTATAATGTTTTGATTTAGTCTTGTTGAATAGGCAATTTTAGCTTGTTATTCTCATATCTAAAGTTATGGTGCTGCAATTACTGTGAAAGTTTTATGGTAGGATGCTTATGTCACATGTGTGCCGTGGTAAAAAAATTCATATTCATTGGATGCAATATGACTGAGTTATTGATTTAACTTTTTAATGCCTATTAAATGGTTTATAAATAATATAAGTATGTAAAAATGTGGTTCCACAACCTTTGTATGATGTTGTTATGTCATGTTGATATATAATATGGCTATATGTTTACAGAAAATGTTGAGTTTTAGATTCATCTTGCTCTCACATATTTTCTTGCATTATCAATTTGTCTTTTTTGTAATAATTAAATTATAAAACCTGATCATGTGAAATTTGTGCAGTAGCCATGTTTTGATAACATATATCATTCATAAAAGTCTCAGCCCCAAACTAGTTGTTCTCATATATCACTAAAATTATATATATGTTTATTAGGAAAAAAGGATTAATAAAAACATAATTGTAGATAAAGCTTGCAATTGTATTTGGTGATGTTTTGAGTGATTGGGGTTCAATAAAGTGTTTCTAAGTATGTTAGTGGTGGTTGAAGTTCTTTAATGACTCATGTGTGTATGCTCTTTGTTAGCAAAACAAGTGAAACATCAAATTGTTATATTCTGAAATGGCTGCATGTGCATTTTTTGTTGTGATGATAACTTCGTTGATCAAATGATGTTTTCTGTAAATATAGTGAATATCAAAGTTGTAGATAATTTCCTTATATTGCTTTTCCTAAAATTTCATAATTTTAGGCCTGATGGTTTGGGAGTTATAGATTTTAGAAGTTTGCTGTCAGGTTTTTGCATGTCCTCTGGACAGATCTAAATGATTGTATTGTTTGGCTTATTTAAACATAGAATCATGTATTGGTGATAATATTAGAGTTGTAGTGATTTTCCTAACATTTCTAAAATGTTAGAGAACACCCTTTTTGGTAGTCTAGAACTCCAGTTATAACTGTTCAAAGTGGAATGACAGATTTCTGTTCAAATCTGGACAGAGATGCCTTCTTGGTGTTGTTTATCCTTGTTAACTATAGAATCATCTTAAGATGATAATAAAAAAGTTATAGATAACTTAATAATCTTTCTATAAAATTAAGGATCATGCTTGTTGGATGAACATAATTTGAGATATGCATTTCTGAAGTTAATATCAGTTTTCTGTCCTTATTTGTATAAGGTCTGCTTCATGATGTATTTCAACCTTATTATTTGTTGAATTATCTTTTGGTGTTAATAACAAAGTTTTATATAATTTCATTAGCTTTTCAAAAAATCTTGAATCACACTTTTTGCATGCCTAGAACTCTAGGTATGATTAATACAAGCGACTGTGGTGCTGCTGTTCAGAATTTGTGTTTTTACCTAAAATTGTTTGCTTCACCTTGCTTTGCTTTATGTGTTGCTAATTGTGGCTCATCCCTTTGATGGTGTTAAGTTAATATATCTAAAACCTTGTGAAACTTGTGTCATGCTTGGTGCTACCTTCATTGCTATCCTAGCATGATAGGTTGTGAGATGTTTAATTAAGTAACATGGAGTGCTTATATATGTTCAGTGTAACCTTGTGCTCATCTTGAATACTTTTATGTGAGGCATCTCATATTGCCATTCTTCGCATTCATGCACTTGCATTGTTGCATCTCATCTAGGTACGCTAGATACACCACGTGAAGGACGTGATGTTGGAGCCGAACCTGAAGATGAAGTTTGGTGAATCCATCAAGAAGACGGAAGGACTAAGCAAATGCCGAGATGGGAGATGCTCGCCAAGCGAGTGTCATCTACCAAACATTGACCTAGTGTTGGATCCCAGGAAGCCCCAGAGTATTCTAAGCCTCCTATGTTTTTACAATTATCACTTGCATCCTTTATGTTTGATGCATTAAGTAGTAGGGGTTGATTGAAACCACTTGCTGCATATACTTTTCTTGTCCAGACAAATATATCTTGAATCCTATGTAGGTCCAGGATCGGATATATGTTTAGCCATGCTTAGTCCGATAGAAGTCGAGTGATTTCCTATCACCTGTAAGATATAGGTTGATATCTGATCACGGTTGGCTATAATTGCTATCATGGAAATAACCATGTGTTGATAAATAAAAGGAGACCAGGCATGATTGTGATAGAGAAGCAACAAGGCATAGAGGTCTTGGTGCCTATTTATCTCCGTCTATGTCGGTTAAGGACCGATTCACTGTACGTCCTCATGTCATGTTGAACGTATGTCTAACACTTAGTTGGCCAGATAAGTCGTTTCGACCGCGAAGCCGAGTAGCTCAACTCAGGCCGAGACTCGGTAAGTGAAAGTGCGCACACTGGAGAAAGTAAGGATGTGCGGAGAGCCAGTGGCATGAGTCCAAGGGCAGGCCAGGCCTGAACTTCCTGGCAGACTGGTAGTATCCCCGAGGGTGCGGCGCTACTCGGACTCGCGACTATACCTGAGTTGTACCAGAGGTGACCTAAGACTACCTTGGCGTAGGTATGTCTGTGTTTGTGTTAGGAATAACTCCCTAGCTAGTTGGAATTGATTCGAGTCGCCGTCTCTCCCGGATAGTGAGAACTTCATTAAGCAGCTACAACGTAGCATTAATTGATGGAACTTGATGGTTATGATGATGCTCAAATTAATACACCAGATATGGTTACTAATGCTTGTTAGCTTAATCACATGATTGCTCTAGTATAGGTGCTAATCTAGAGATGCTTAATTGAATAGGTATTCAATTTGAAGCTAAAGATATTAAATCTCCAAGTTATGTTACTTAAGCTTTTATGCAAAATGTTGTCAAGCTAACTCCACCGATAAAGCCTTGCATACTCTTTGGTGTCACTTTATTTCTGGTTTATGACGGGTAAGTCTAGCTGAGTACATTCGAGTACTCAGGGTTTATCCCACCATGTTGCAGGTGAAGTTCTCGGTCTGCTGAAGATGATGGCTAACCGCTGGTGGGCTCGGTGACTCTATATTTATTTCTCATCTATATGCTTTTATCAGAGGATGTCACTTATGCTAGCAATGTATTTGAAACTTATATTATTATAATCATTTGAAAGCTATGTTGTTTTCACTAATCGGTTTTGAAACCCAAACTTGTATTATTATTTGTGAACACATTGTAAACATTATTTCCACTGCAACTCTGTGTATATGACGTGTATTTGCTTAATCATGCGATCTTGGTTGTGATGGAGATTTACCGAGGTCCTTCGTGACACTCGGCAGACTACCGATTTATATAAGTGAAAGTATGCGCGTGTCAACGTGTTAGCGGGGACATCCGCACTTGATCTTGTATAAATTGGGCGGTTCTATCATAGGCCTACTGGGGAAGCCAGCCATGGGCTTGGCGCGCAACTAGCAGCGCGGCACGGTCAACGAAGGGGTAGCGCCGTTAGCAGTCTGTGCGCCCGTGGCACCAGCCGGGCGCGCGACGGACGTGATGACTCCCTGCGCGAATCTGTAGATCCGGGGAGGGAGAGGCTAGATCCGGCCTCTAGGGGCCTAGATCTGCCTCGTCGGTCGGCCAACCAACCCGCTTGGGACTCGCCGGAGAAGGTAGGGTAGAGGTGGGCGGTAGAGAAGCGGGGGTAGGGGAGTAGGAAGTGGGCTACGACAGTTACCCGTTTTTGGGGCCGCCGCCACGCGCGAGAGGGCGGCGATGACGGTCGGGGAGGTGGCGATGGGAAGGAGCTCTGGGCGGCGCCGGCTGGCCCCGAGACGCCCCACTGTCGTTTGTTTTGAACTTTTTTCCAATTCGCTAACGAACAAATCTCCTGGTGTATTCACCTTCTACAATAGAGTTGCCACAAAGCCAACATACTCAATAGGTGTGTGCATTTAAATGCTTTTAATGGTGGCCATTTCGGTAGAGTATAAGACAATAGTAGTTTGTTATGAATCATACAATCTATTTTTGTTTCCTCTTAAAATCTACATATATATTTTTTATATTTTCTAAGGAAAGTATTGGTTGGGCCTTTTAGTCAGATTTTGGGCCATAACTGGATTCCACAACACTGGATAGGGCTTGTGAAGGCCCATCGAACTCCATCTAGCTGCAACGGGATGACGTTTCCAAGCTGCTGGCCTGTCCTTGACCGCAATCCCCGCCTTCAGCAGTAAGCATCTCACTTTCACCCTTCTCTAGTTTGTTCTATTAGTATGTTTTCTTATTTGCTTTTCATATGATCTACTTTTCAAGATTTCAGGTGGAATTTTGATTCTCCTGTTTCATCTGATATGTGATTTTTGGGGGTCATTCATTTTCACATATTTTTATTCTTTATGATGGACTGATAAGTATGCAGCCAGCCAGCCACTTAATTCATTGCTGAACTCAATTTTCTTACCATTAAATAAAAACATATTTCACTACCACCCATTTTTTTTTACATTCACAATGTATTATTAGTTGTATGATTTACCATCATATTCTTTTGCTGAACACTATCTAGATGTAAAGAACAAAATACATAAATATGTCGTATCTGAATGTTTGAGTAACTAACTGAAAATATCAAAGTAATGGTGATGCTACATGTTTATGGAAAGGAGTGATACGAAATGAGCGTGGAAAACTTAAACTTCAGTCAGTCTGGCAAAACAATGCCACCTCACCTGGGAGAGCTTTGTAAAAGCTGCTTTGTAGGTCCTCCCTATGTTTAGACAGATAAGCAGCCTCACCCATGTAAGCCAGGACTAAGCATGGATACACAACTATTGTGAATCCAAGCTGCCATTACAAAGCAACAAAAAAGATTCAGTAAAGTTTTGTTGACACAGTTAATGACGGAAAATTGGCACATCTAGCAAGTAAAGCAAAACTATCATTTATTATAAAAATAAGATATTTACCCTTAGTGAAAGTTTTGAGAAATGCCCAAGATCAGCAAACATTGCTTCAGCACCTGAAATTCTAGAAGCCTTAGAAATTCCCAAGTACAGCTTTAACTGAACCTTAAGTCAATACAGAATTGGATAGAAGAAGATGTGAACCTGTAATGCATAGAACAATCCCTCCCAGTGAGCTCCAGCCATCCTTGCCGGCCTTGCTGAAGAAGTTGTATATGTAGTATGGTGACAGAGCACGAATGACAATAGGGTTCCACTTGAATATGTTGTATATGCCGATACCGCCAATGCAGCCAAGCCAGGCAAGCAAAATTGGAGCAAATAGGAACCCAACACGGTGGGTTCCATAGTGTTGCAGCGCAAAAAGGACAACCAAAATGAAACAGGCAAAAAGCACAGTGTAATCTGTACACAAGCACAATTTTTTTTTGTTTTAATCATTTTTTGTTAGTAGTGCAATGCCAAAGAATAACAAGTAACCTGAAAAATATCAACTAGCATCTGCTCCTAACAGAAGTAAATCATTATGAGCAATATGTAAAAACAGCCTCTTACTTTCATGTAGTTCTGGAAACTTAATTCTGAGTCCAGAAACTGCCGATAGAACTGCACAAAAGGGGCATCATCTCTGTCAGTTGCAGTAAGATTTCGCGGGCTTAGGTTACTAAACTTTTTCCAGAAAAAAAGAGTAACAGTCTAACTGTTAGATAAGTTACACAAGGAAACTGCTTGGAGTACAGTACACTGAAGAGATATTCATGATTTGAACTAAGCACAGCACTTACCCCCGCCCCCTAAGAATACGCAGGCGAGCTGCACTGCACCATCTTTGTTTTTTAAAGGGCGGCAAAATCTTTGCCGCAATTTTTAATAGAAGGAGAAAATAAAACAAGTATTGGTCTAGTTTTTTGAGTAGAAACCGGAAAAAAAAAACCACACGAATTCTCCTTACAACTGAACACAAAGACCAACCCAAACCTAAGACTGCACCATCTTTGTATTAAGGACAAATTATTAAAATTTTACAGTGTGAGTTCAGCTGCGGCGTCGGCCTTACAAGAACACTAAAAGTGTAGTTTCAGGCAAACCATTTCAATGAACACGAGAACCTAATAATGTTTTTTACCTGACATTGTTGGGGTGAAGACACCATCCCCAATAACCATACTAGTACCCATCAGAACGAAGATCAGCAGCACAACACGAAGCGAGTAATGCTTCTCGATGAAAGATTTTATCGCCAAACTACTCTTTAGCTCCTCACGAGGTTCCTTCTGGTTGTATGCCGATAAACACCCATTGTTTATATTGTTCAGGAGCCCCATCCTTGAGCGCCTGCACATTAACGAGTACAATGCAAATGTGCCACCTGCATACACAGCACAGCACATTACCAGTAAACTCAGACAGTTTATCGATCAGCATCCCTGGACCCACTTTTCTCATAGGAAATAAAACAGTGTCAATATGATGATTGAACCAAGAATGAGCTGAAGAAACTGGACTCAAACAACAGTACCTTCTCCATCGTCATCTGCTCCAAGAACAAGGATGATGTATTTGAGCAGTGGTATGAGCGTCAGGCTCCAGAAGACGAGAGACAGCACCCCAAGGATCTCCTCGTCCTCCTCATGCAGACGCAGCTTCCCAGAGAAGGTGTTCTTGTACACATAGACAGGTGAAATGCAGAGATCGCCATACACAACTCCGAAGCTCTGGTATGCCAGTAAAAGCGTCGCTTTCTGAAGTCCCTGCACCAACCAACACGAACAGTATAGTAAGTTTGCAGTGTCGCCCTGTTCGTTTCGCTGAAAAACCAGGCTGAAAAGTATTGTTCGCTGATTTGTTGTGAGAGAGAAACACTGTACCATAGCTGATAAGCCAAGTTGACGAGGTAGCGAACAGTTGTTTTTATTTTTCACTACTATCTATAACCATTTATCTAGTAACACAAACTGTAGATGCAATTTTGAGGAAAAAAAAGAATAACACACTACATGTAGACAGTGCAGGTAGTAAGCCAAAAGGCATTGAAAGCAACACAGTAGAGTCTGAAGTAAGTTCATAAAAATGACAAAGATGGTTCAGATAGACCAAACAAACCGGAGTAAGTAGTGAAGTGACAACAAACCAATATATGGGCGCCATAAGCTACTACGTACATACTTCCAAGAAATATACGACTGCAAAAACGGGTTGATCGAAAGAATTATACAGGATCGTTGGTATTTACCGTTTCATCCATGGAGTCCAGCTCATGGGCTGTGGAAAAAAGTCAGGGATAAACATGGCTCAAAACGACAGTACTTTTACAGCAAAGCCAACACGAAATTCATGGCTAACGTATACAACACCAAAAGGAGGTTAACTGACACCTGAATTTCAGCACGAGAATAGATGCCGTTCGTAAACCTTAGCCTGCACGAATTCAATGTTGGACGAGGAACTAGCACAACACATCTGCTACTTGAACTCAAGAATGATCCAACCAGTTGTGCCCAGGAATCACACGGCAGCAGAAGTTTTGCAAAGACTAGAGCATCTCCGAGAGTTTTTCTAAAATCTACTCTCTAGATCATCATCTAGAGAGTCATTTAACTAAAAATCATTTTCTATATCTTTATATCCTCCAATAACTTTTCTATATCATGTGCGCAGTCTAGAAAGCCATCTCCGCTCTTTATCTGTGACTAACGAGAAATTCGAAATAGGGGATATCTATATTTGATATCCAGTTGAAGAGGCTGTTGGAAGATATAGCTTTCCACCAAAATCTCTATTTCAATAAATTAGAGAAGGCATGAAGAGTCTCTTAGAGATGCTTGTTCGCAGTTCACTCCTTGCTATAAGAACCAGAAAAACACCAAAGAAACCAAACACCTTGAAGGAATTCACCAAGAACCGTCAGTTGCATTGCAGAACCTATCAGCCCCTAATTACGACGAAGGCCAAACGCACTGTTCGGCTCGCTGAATCTTGGCTAAAACTGGCTGAAAAATACTGATCTGATTAAATTGGTGTGAGAAAAAAAACACGATTTCAGCTGGAAAAAAGAAGCCGAATAAGTCGGCTTTAAGGTAAGCCGAACGGGCCTGAGAGAGGTTCTCCGAATCGAAACGAAGAAATCGCATGAAACTGAGCTTACGTACCCAAGGTGAGCTCGCAGCCCGCTTCGTCGTGGACTGCAGCTGCACCGCCGGCCGGCCACCACCCTCCACGTCCATCTCTCGGATAACCCGACGGATGAACGACGACGCCGGATCGATCGATGATGGGCCCTCAACTTCGGCGGCGTGGGCTGCTGGGCGTTTATTTGGCTGCGTTGCCTGCAACCACGCACTGCGCGATGGAGTTTGGGGAGGCCGGAAGGGACTGAGCGATCAGTGAGGAAGGAGCGAAGCAGTTAAGGGGAGGGAAAACGTGGTGACTCCACGAAAAGAAGGGGAAAAAATTACATGCATACAGGATGCACCCAGGTTCGGTAAATACACAAGTCAATCTGCTGCCACGTGGACAACTCAACAACATCTATGGCATGTATGTGCTCATCAAGGTGGCAGGGCAACCGTCCTCGTTCTTTTTTTCGACTGCAACCGTCCTCGTTCTGTGATTGGCTCGACTCTCACGCTAGGCTCCAGGATCGATGCTGTTGGTTATCCATGTGGCAGCAAATTGACGTCCGTATGCATGGAGCCTAGGTGCATACCGTATGCATCTAATTTTCCTCCATGCTGCATGCACAAGCCTGTGTGTATTGTGCAGGGGGGGCACCATGGCCAACCAACCATGGTTATTTTTTGTTTGCTAAAAAATTGGAAACTGCTCTTTCTTTTTGTATCCCGTTAAATCTTTGAGCAACAAGGATATAGTGTGTTATCTTTCATTGTGGCAACTGAGTTGATTTGCTGATTTGTGCTTTTAATAATATATTTTACTTAACCCATTTTTTATTAAAGGAGATATCAAATATGTCATACACGGTCACTTTGGACCTAGTCGCTTTTGTCAATGGCTTACAAAGGCCCCGTTTGGCAGGGCTTCTCCACTGGCTTCAGAAGCCGTTTGGAGTCGTTTTTTGTCAAACGGGGTAAAGTGAAATAGTTTCACTGGTGAAGCCCCTAAAAACATGCTCTCACAGTGATTTGGGGTGGAATGGAGAAAAAAAATTGGCTTCTCCCGGCTCCTCCTTCAAGCCCCTAAAAACATGCTCTCATAGGGAAGCCATTTTGACAAACAGTTTACCAAAACCGCTTCAGCTCCACCGGTGGAACTGTTCGTGAAGCTGAAACAAAAAAAAATGACTTCACTAATGAAGTGAAGCCCTGCCAAACGAGGCCAAAGTTACACTACCGTGATATAGTTTTGTCAATGGCTTACAAAGTTACACTACCGTGATATAGTCACAAACGACACTAGCTAAAACAACATTCAAGGTATATATGCAGAAGTACTTCATCAATATCACACCCACCACATTTGCACTTGAGGTAGGTAGATTTCTTCCACCAACATTTCTTCAAGTGCAAGATCTCCTATATGAGAGTATTTTGATGTGCTATCGTACAATGATTGAATATATGGAGCAGAGCTACGTGCTTCCGTCTGATCAACTGATTTGTTTTTCAATAGACTTTTGGTTAATCCAGTACAGTCCCTCTTTAACACTAGCAAATTCTTCTTCTAAGTTGCATCTATTGCATGATGATTGACCCAAAACACTGCCAACGGATCATTTAGAGAAGTGTATATATGTGTCAAAAGTTTTTTCCCCATATGTGAAAACATATCTTTCTAGAACCTTTCGGTAAAGCCATATGACATTTTCACTTTTTTTTAACAGTAGCTAAGATACACATAGCCTATATATGATTGGTAATTCTGGGAAGCGGGCGTCCGTCCACCCCGGACGCTCCGTTGATGGGCCACAACGCTGGCCCAACTACCCCTTCCTATCTACCCGGGAGTTAAAAAAGAATCGGTCTTCTTGCCTTGTGGCCCTCTTCCTTCACCAACGCAGGCGCACCCCGCGCGTAGCTCGCAGCACTGCGCTATCTCCTATAGCCCCACCGGCCACCAGCGCAGCGGCGCGCCCCCACCGCCTCCTCGCTGCTCTGACTTAGCATCGTGCCGCCCTCCTAGCCCACCTGCCGCGCTGCCACGCTTGCTCCCCCATGCCGCGGACCATCGGACTGTCGGCTCCTTGAACTTAGGGTGGGAGCTAAGGACCGCCGACTGCCCTTCTTCCGAGACGCTTCCTTGAACTCGATGTGGGCGCCATCTCCGCTCCTCGCCCCGGGCCGCTGCCTCCTGTGAACACACGCCGATGAGCCTCCATTCTCCCAAGCAGCAAGGAGATGTTGCGCTGAAAGCGCATGTTGCAAGCATATGTTTCAAGTGTTTCATATGTTTCAGAGGTATGTTGCAAGTGTTTCATACGGATGTTGCAAAAGTGGATCGGGATATTGCATATGTTGCAATGGTTGTATAGTATGTTGTAAGCTTATGTTCCCAATGTTTTATCTATTTTTTCCAGACGTTTGTTGCAAGTGTTTTTATTTAGATGTTCTATATGTTTCACACATATGTTACAAGTGTTTTATCTGAATGTTGCGTATGTTTTTCAAGTGTTTTTCATGTGTTTTTGCAAGTGTTTGAAATGCATGTTTGAAGTGTTTCATCTGCCTTCAGACATATGTTGCAAATGTTGCATTTGGATGCTTCAAACGTAGATCAGGTGTTGCATTTCCATCCTCGCTTTCTGCTACCGCGCCTCGGTGTCTCCTCCCTCTCTCGTCACCTCCGGCTGGCATCCGCCGCCCCCTCCCCCATTTCTCGATGCTGGTGATGTTTGGGGGTGGCGCGGGCCCCATGTGGGCACGCGAAACGGCACGGAAAATGACTATCGGCGTGGGCGTCCGGACGCCCCGTCTGTCCGGACGTCCAGGCGCTAGAAAAGCCCGATATATGGTTGTTGAAAAAATAAAAATAACATGATACCAGATATCATGCCATATCGAGTGATATCACACAACAAAGTCTAGCAAATGACAAAATAAAAGAATTATAGCTTTCCCGAATAACAAATTAAAGCTATACCTGATTTTGTCATCTTATCTTGAATCGTCCCATATCAAACCATACTTATTCTAGGGAAACACTTGAAAAAAAAATAGAATGGCTCTTATGAATTTCTGGACCGTATAAGAAAGCTATAGAAGAGGAAAAAAGAGAGGCAAAACTTGTTGATAAAAGAGGAACTAAATTGAACTCCGCAAGTTAGAGAATCTATGACCATACCCGGAATTGGATGATGCTGAAATTGTGATGGGAAGTTTGGGCTTGTGTGGACACATTTAATTTGGCCACTGCACTGACCTGGATTAATCTATTTCCTTTTTATTTTGTCCATTTAATGTAGATACATTGTTGTGGAACATGGAACAAGTGCGCGTTAACAGGCCCTCAAAATCTTTTTGCAAGTATTTTGATTAAGCTGGAACGTTTCCTTTTGCTCTCAAGTATGCATATCATTTATACACGGTCTACACTTGCACTACTAAAAAAGCATATTCATTTTTTACTTTTCATTTATCTTATCCTTTGAAAAAAAGTGCTTTTCATTCATTCTATTAGTATAGATGCATGCCTTTCGCTATACATGAGTTGAGAGGATGCGGCGACCCTGAGCCAGGTTAGTGGTTAGGGTTTCGGGATCGGGGTCAGGGATTTATGTGTTTTCTAGTTGTGAAGGAAAGCTTGGGGAGACCAGCGGACTGGTCGTGGTGACGGTTGAGAGGGCGGTGGGTAGGGTAGCATCCCCGCTGCCTGCGGGGTGGTGGGAAAGGCCGATTCGTTGGTGCCGACGGCAGGCGAGTTCACCTTATTTCTTCTCAGGCGAACCAGTCCTCCTGCCTTCCTCCACCTATCTCCATCTTCCTCGTTTCTCACTCTCCCCCACAAATCCATGTCTACCAAGGGACCAAGGTTTCACTACTACAAAAATGATTTTGCGAGACACTGTCCAAGCATTAATGAAGACGGTCACAAAATACAACCATCTTCTAAAATACGTGAGAATTATTGGATGCGGTTATTTTATTTACGGTGGCGGTCACCATTGTCTGTCTCGCAAAATGGATTTACGTAGGCAGATGTTTTATTTATGCACACAGTCAGATTTTGCTCGTCTCCTAAAATTTATTTATGGACTCCGAAAATGGAGGCGCACATTTTCGGAGGCGGAACTCTTAAGAGGCCTACCGATGTTAATGGGTGTGAAGCCCAACCGGCCCATCTCTGAGCCCAAAATCCCTCGACTACATAAACACCCAGCTAGGGTTTTCACTCACTCCCATCTCTCACTGGCCACCGCGCCTCCAGCTCTCTCTCATCTCCTATCTGTATCTCTCCCTCTCACAAGAAGATGCGAGCATGGGGGTTCTCTCTCATCTCCCACCCCGGCTGCGCGCGCGATCATGGGGGCTCCCACCCCACGGCGGCGCGCACACGGGAGGTCTCCACTCCGGCAGAGATGCGCACACATGGCTCTCTACCCTGGCAACAGCAAGTACACAGGGCTCCCCCATCTAGTGCGGTGCAGATCCATCCACCTCCGATGCAGATCTGGCCATCAACGACGGCGAGGGTGCAGATCCGGCAACCACTGACACGGATTTGGCCACAACGGCGGCGAGGGCGTGGATCCGGCCACCATCAACGTGGATTTGGCCACCAATGGCGGCCGGGCACCGATCCGTCCACCACCACCAATAAGTTGAGTAGACTTGGTGACTCTAAGCCTCCTCCGATTCGAGCAGAACTGGCGATTGCGATCCAGGTTAGTGGTTACGGTTTTGGGGTTGGGGGTTTGGGACTTATGTGTTCTCCGACTATAAAGGAAAGTTTGGGGAGGCTGATGGATTAGCAGCGGTGGCGGTCAAGATTGCGGTGGGGGCACCGTGGTGGGGACGCTGCCCACTAGGCGGTGGGAGAGGCCAAATCGATGGTGCTAGTGGCAGGTGAGCCCACTTTATCTCTTCTCATGCAAGCTGGTCCTCCCGTCTTCCTCCACATTTCTCCATCTTACTCATCTTTCTGTTGCCCCCTTAAATCCATGGCTACAGAGGACCTGAGGTCTCCTCCTCTCACAACTCGAGTAGACCTGGCGACCCCAAGCCTCTTCTGATGAGTCGAGCGGATCTGATGACCCTGAGCTAGGGTTGTG